AACATGTCTCATATATATATATATATATATATATATATATATATATATATATAACATAGGATATAGGATATAATTTTGGTAGAATCAGATCCACAACTTGGTGACCAACTTGAACATCATATTACTTGATAAACTTAACGTAAAAAAAAAACCTTTAACAGCCATTAATGCTCAAATGTGATGTTTTACATACATTTTTGATATGCCGTTTTAGCTTGACATTAAAAAACAAATAAAAAACTCAGGGACACATAAATCAAATACCGTAACCTGTATTATAAAACGGATAGTTCCGGTCCTTGATTCTGATTGGTTCGAAGCTGTTGTAAATTACTCTACAAACATACACCTTTGTTTACTTCTGTGTGTTTCTCTGCAACCACTTTGTTGGAACCACAACTGATTCTGAAGAACTACATTGTTTGCCGGAAGAATACTGTTTTTATTAATATCATAACACTTTATTTGCTCCGTTTTATTTTGTGAAACCTTACTACGTATATGGAATAACCGTTTTATAAAAGCAATAAGCCCCATGAAGCCGTGGATTACACTGAATTTATTCGCGTCATGCCTAAGAACCCTTAGCTGTTATAAATTCACTGTAAACCACGGCTTCTTGGTGCTTATTGCTTCATTACAAAACAGATAGTTCCGGTCCTTGATTCTGATTGGCTGAGCCACGTTGAAAGCTGTTTATAACTCCGCTTCGCATCGTGCCTAACAACGCCCCTTAGCTGTTATAAATTCACTGTAAACCACGGCTTCTTGGGGCTTATTGCTTTATTAAAAATAAATAAATAAAAAATCAGTACTGGTCAATCTCTACAGGTCTCTATGATATTCTGGTCTTTAAATATGGCTCTGGTCCTTCTTTCAAATATTGCTCTGATCCCGCTTTCATCTTATTGTTTACCAGGCAAAAATTGTTAGTCCAATCACTCAGAAAAGTAACACCCCACCTCTCTTTAACAAGCCACGTGATTTGAGATATCATTCATGTCTGTAGCACACAGTTTAATACTTAGCAGTATGGTTTGTTCAAACCACCAATCAGCAATAAAAGTGAGGCTTGCATGGCCTAGTAAACACCTCTAAAAAGAGACACTGATGTCACTTTCTGTGGCGCACCTGACAGCAGAGGCTGAGCTTTCACTCTGACTGTGAGAGACACTTTTGTTCAGAGCACAATTCACTGACAGCAGCACAGAGAGACGATTGTGTGCGTGTTTGGTACTGGATCTGTCCTGTACTGAACACCAGAGAGAGACAGATATGTGGGTGAGAGACACATAATCAGAGGATGGGTTGGAGCCAGTCTGTAAAATCTGTATTGTTTGTGTTTTAAAGCAGAACAACATCACATAATTCAGAACATTTGAAACATTGTGATAAACACTGAACTAAATAAACACTTTTATCCATCCATCCATTCATTCCCCTGCTGCTTATCTGGGACCCAATCACAGTGACAGCAGGCTAAGTAGGGCCGCTCACATGTCCTCTGGCAACTTCTCCCAGGTGCTCCCGAGGGATCCCAAGGTGTTCCCAGTCCAGCATGTCCTAGGTCCAACCCTGGTCTCTTCCCAGTTGGACATGACTGAAACACCTCCACTGGAAGGTGTCCAGAAGGCATCCTAACCAGATGCCTGAACCACCTCAACTGGCACTATTCCGAGTCTCTCCCAGATGTCAGAGCTTCTCACCCCTTATGTACACTGCACGCATCTGCGGTGCATTACGGCTCCGACAAGGTTTTGTTCCATCCTCCATGCGGTGCCAACTCACACCAGCAGCATTTGAGAAGTGAAGCGACAGGATTCACGTGATTTGCCTGTCCAATGTTGTTTTTCTTGATTTTTTTGTGTTCTAACATGGGTAAGTTGGCTAAATGCTTGTTTTGTCCTGTTTAATTCTGTTTAGTGTTGTGTTTTTGTCATGTCCTACTTTGTTGTGCTTAGGGCTGTGCAAAAAATCGAATGCGATTTTCATGCACATCTCGTCAGTAAAGCCGCTCCTGTGATTAGTAGTAAATCTCCAGCACGTGCTTTCAGATGGAGCGGCATTTACTACACACAGCCGTGGTTCACTGACAAGCTACACAAAATCACGTTCATTATCGGCAATGAATCACCTGCGATTTTGAACACGATTTTGTGTAGCTTGTCAGTGAACTACGGCTGTGTGTAGTAAATGCCGCTCCATCTGAAAGCACATGCTGGAGATTTACTACTAATCACAGGAGCGGCTTTACTGACGAGATTCGTATGAAAATCACATTAGATTTTTTCCCCAGCCCTAGTTGTGCTGTAGACTTCAAAGTTAATACACTAAAAAGTCCAGCTATAAACGACAAGGATAAAAGATTTGTAGCTGGCAAGGATATAATGATGTGAAATATGACAGATATTTTTATTTTGTATTTACTATGCGGCGTCCATCAAAAATAGCCCAGGTAGCCTATCTTTAGCGAAGTGCCGCAGAGAGCCGCTTCTGAAACGTGACGTGGCACGGCTGGTATATGAATGAATGAATTAATCATTTATACAGCGCATTATTGTGTATTGCTGTACACCCAAAGCACTTTACAATCATATGAGGGGGTCTCCTCGACCAGCACCAGTGTGCAGCATCTACCTGGATGATGCGACGGCAGCCACAGTACAACAGCACCAGTGTGCTAACCACACACCAGCAACAGGTGGAGAGGAGAGAGAGAGTGAGCCAATTCAGTGGATGGAGATTATTAGGAGGCCATGATTGACAAGAGCCAGTGGGAGGGAATTTGGCCATATGATGTTTTAATGACCACAGAGAGTCTCGGTTTAGCGTCTCATCCAAAGGACGGTGCTTTTTTCAGTATAGTGTCCCCATCACAATAATGGGGCATTAGGACCCACACAGACCACAGGGTGAGCACCCCCTGCTGGTCTCACGAACACCCTTATCCAGCAGCAACCTAGTTTTCCCAGGAGGTCTCCCATCTAGGTACTGACCAGGTTGAACCCTGATTAGCTTCAGAGGGCAACCAGTCTTTGGTAACAGGGTGATATTGCTGTGGATGTGGTGAAAACACAATCATTGACTAGAGTGGCCATGATCAGCTCCGGTGGCTGCGTCGGAGCCATTACGTGCCACAGACACGTGCAGTGTAAATATGCAGTCACCCTGTCTCTCAAGGTTAGCTCAGACACCCTTCTGAGAAAATTAATTCCCTACTCAAAGTGGGTAATATCACCTGGCAAGGTAAGAAAGTTTCCATCCTGACTTAAACAGCTTGGACCAGCCTATACTTCCTCACCTAAGCCATCTGATGGTCTGCCACGGTGACAGGCACCAACAACCTTCCTGCAACAGCTCAAATTCCACAATAAAAGCTTTGAACAACTCGGACAACAACAAATTCAATCATAGACCTTTGTCATAAAGTGGTCTGGTACTAGGTACACATATGAACCACCTTATGTTGAAACATGGAGTTTGTTATGGCCAATCCATTCTGAGCACAGAATTCCAACAACACAATACCACTCCCTTCCAGGTCTCTTCGTCATCACCAACATGAGCTTTGAAGACGCCCCGTAGTACTACAGAGTACCTAGGTGGTACCCCTTCCAGGGCCCCACCCAGGGTCTCCAAAAAGGCTGGACACTCTGAAGTGTGGTTTGGCATGTAAGCACAGAACACAGTCAGAATCTTCCCCTCTGTGACACAAATTCATGTGGTGACCCTCTTGTCTATGGAGTTAAACTTCATAACCATGGCGCAGAGTTGGCTTGTGAGTGTTCCCACACCCTCTAGATGCCCTCTAGATCATCCTGGCCGACTGCAGAGAAGGAGCGAGCCCAATCCCTATCTAGGTGTTTGGTTCCAGAGCCCGAGCTGTGTGTGTAGGTGAGGCCATCTATGTCTAGCTGGTATTGCTCAACCTCCTGCTCCAACTCCTACTCCTTCCCCACCAGAGAGGTCACATTCCATGTACCAAAACTTAGTTTATGCAACAAAAGTCCCATCTTCAGGACCCTTTCTCCACCTGCTGTTCATTGTATATTGCATCATTCCCCTAAATCTTCCCCTTGCAGGTGGTGAGGTCACAAGGCGAAAGCCCCGTGTTATTTTTTTTCGGCTAAGCCTGACTGCGCCCATAGGCCCGAGCCAGTAAATAACTAATGGCATAAACAATAAAACAATACAAACAGTAATGTTTATATTATATAAAAAATAATGCTCTGGCTAACTCCACAGACAGCTAAACTAACAAGCATAATTCTGAAATGAAATTACATATTATAAATATAACTGCATACCAAATATCCAATAAAACTAAATGTTCGATACTCAGTATACCATGTCAACCTATGGAAATATGAATATCACAATTGCATA